TATAAATAAAACGAAACTTCATCAAGAGTAACATGCATCAACTTCGTGTAAAGTTTAGCAGAAGTTTGAAATCGCTCGCATGAGCGATCACTTCATTTTTTAATGATTCGAACAAAAATGACCAGACGTATACCAAGAATTGAAATCATTCACTATCACTTGTTCCATCAGTTCCATATGCCTAAAGTTATTCGTTGCAAATCTTCCGTCCTCCAGATTCATCCTGGAATGTTTCGAAAATTTGATAAGGTCGCTTTCAGAATCATGCCAACCCAAAAAACGACCAAGTTGGAAAATTTCCGGCAGGAGGAAGAATTCTATGGAAAGATTTGCTCACGTCTTAATTCGTTTGACCTTTTCCCCAGACTGAAATGCTAATTCATTGTTCTCTGATGCCTTTCTTTTCTCTGCTGGCTTTACACCATGATGTTCAACCGTTGCCCTTGGACTATTGCCGAAAAGTGAAATTGGCGAAAGTCCACCCACCGAAGGTCCCTCTCTTCATTGTTATGGGCTATGAAGGTTCGAGGTACAGGAGAGGTGCTCAGTATATATAATACTCCAGGGTTAGTAACTACTTTAGTTCATGGGGTTTTTTTTTACCTTATTCTGTGAAGTATTTTATGACCTGGGTGAATCTTACTTGTCTCATTGATGATGCTGGAAATTATTTTCTTCTTCTTGGAGGTGTTCCCTTTTTGAAATGTGTTTAATTATGCCAAATCGCGGAACGTGTTCTCCTGGTAAAAATTGTGCGGGAAGTTTGCTTTTTCATTATTTTCAACGTGCCTTCAACTTACAAACCTGCTGGTTCGAGCTAATTTCAAAGGCTTTGATTCCTTATCATTTTATTAAGTAGATAATTCAGAGGATGAATATTGTTCAGGGGCTCACAAACCTGAATACATTGGGAATTCCGAAGTCTGGCTAGTATTACTGGATAATGTATATGCAAGGTTATATTATTACGAAATTTTTTCCCCAGCTCCATCTTTCCTTTTGCAGATATACGCTAATCTAAAAACTGCGAAAAGTGTGCATGGGATACAGCAATTGATAGAGTAGTTTCAGACGACATGCAGTGGAGACTCTTTAATGGGAAACGGATGGTTCAAAAATTGCATTGCTTTTTTGGATTCACTGAAATCTTTCAGCAAAAATCTATATTGATTCTTGGATGTAGGCGGTGGCTTTTCCCCCTTAATTATAAATTCCTTTTGGAACATGATATTTTTTCCATCACTGCAAACCCAGTTGATGGGTGAAACACCTAAAAAGTCTAAGGAGATCATTATCTGTATTAACTATACTAGAAAGTTTTTTGTTTTTGTTTTTTTAATATTTTAGTGTATGTTGGTTTTTTGTGATATATATGCTTGATTCAAAAGNATATATCTTTGCATATGATTACATTTTTCGTAACGTGAGAAAGCCCTGTATTTTAAAACTGTTCACTCACGAGTCCGAGCCTGAAGTATACCGTTTCTGTCAAGAATCTTATAAAGTTTTCTTCATTTCTGAAGAATTAGTCCTGTTTGCTGACCAAGATTTGAATTTAAAAGTGTGTGAACATTCTGAAACCATAAACATTGTAATAGGATATGTATAGGATGTACTTGTAAATACATCCTACAATTTTTTTCAGGTGAATTACGACACAGTAACGTGGACCAAGATCCTGGACGCGCTTGAAAATGCAGGAAATCCATTTCCGGACACTAATATTGCTGCAGTTATTTCGGATGCTCTGGAATTGTGTCTTCTGGGCTTAGTTGACCCTGATGTTTGTGACAGGATCCCGAACACACTGGGGAACCAGACAAGTTTATTCGTTTGGATTTCAGCTGCTAGAAATCTACACAAGGCGATCGCAAGAGCTGCAGATGAAGCAGCTGAATTGGTGAAGATTTATGATCAATATTAAGAAGTGAATTTTTCGAAAAATAAGCCTCCAAACAAGTGATTGATCTTCATGAATACTGTAATAAAATCCTCACGTTCTCACGCGAATTATATAAAAAAAAACTAATGCGATGAGAGCGAAAATAACACTCAAGAAATTTGAAGAAGGCTCTCGAAGTTCTGATCAGTGATGCGGTATTTTCCGAAACAATTCGAAATCATTGTACATTAATTGGCATATTCACTTATTGCACAACCTGTTTCAATCTTAGAATCGAATCAAGGAAATCGTGAACAGAGCTGAATTCGACACCAGCATGAGAACCAGAAAAGAATCAATGCCTGATGATCAACACAAGAAGCTCTTGAACCTTCTGAGAGACTTCAAACATCACCTGGAAGGATCAAATGCAGCCAATACTTTGTAAATATTTCCAAATTCGTTCAATTTTCATCGGTTTCTGCTAAAATACTGTTTATACTTTTTGATTGTAATTTTTTTTCAATCCAGCATCTCGTTGGATGAAGAGCTCCGAAACAAACGCTTGCAACAACAGCAGAAGGACATGATCAGACAAATTTCTCATGATGAGCACTCATAAAAACCTTTGGAATTGATGCATTTCAACAGTAAATGTTTTAATGTTATGCACGTCTGGAATAAAATAATATTGCTATTGAAAATCATTCCGCCAGGCGTTTTCTTGTAGATATATAACAAGGATATTTTGATCAATGCATATACAGCTTCAAATTGGGTCTCAGTCATTTTCCTTTGTTATTGGCTGTTTCTGGCTTATAAATAAAACGAAACTTCATCAAGAGTAACATGCATAAACTTCGTGTAAAGTTTAGCAGAAGTTTGAAATCGCTCGCATGAGCGATCACTTCATTTTTTAATGATTCGAACAAAAATGACCAGACGTATACCAAGAATTGAGATCATTCACTATCACTTGTTCCATCAGTTCCATATGCCTAAAGTTATTCGTTGCAAATCTTCCGTCCTCCAGATTCATCCTGGAATGTTTCGAAAATTTGATAAGGTCGCTTTCAGAATCATGCCAACCCAAAAAACGACCAAGTTGGAAAATTTCCGGCAGGAGGAAAAATTCTATGGAAAGATTTGCTCACGTCTTAATTCGTTTGACCTTTTCCCCAGACTGAAATGCTAATTCATTGTTCTCTGATGCCTTTCTTTTCTCTGCTGGCTTTACACCATGATGTTCAATCGTTGCCCTTGGACTATTGCCGAAAAGTGAAATTGGCGAAAGTCCACCCACTGAAGGTCCCTCTCTTCATTGTTATGGGCTATGAAGGTTCGAGGTACAGGAGAGGTGCTCAGTATATATAAACCTCCAGGGTTAGTAACTACTTTAGTTCATGGGGTTTTTTTTTACCTTATTTTGTGAAGTATTTTATGACCTGGGTGAATCTTACTTGTCTCATTGATGATGCTGGAAATTATTTTCTTCTTCTTGGAGGTGTTCCCTTTTTGAAATGTGTTTAATTATTCCAAATCGCGGAACGTGTTCTCCTGGTAAAAATTGTGCGGGAAGTTTGCTTTTTCATTATTTTCAACGTGCCTTCAACTTACAAACCTGCTGGTTCGAGCTAATTTCAAAGGCTTTGATTCCTTATCATTTTATTAAGTAGATAATTCAGAGGATGAATATTGTTCAGGGGCTCACAAACCTGAATACATTGGGAATTCCGAAGTCTGGCTAGTATTACTGGATAATGTATATG